AAACTGTTCAGGCGGAAGCAAATCAAGCTCGCTCGTTTCCTCCTTGAGTCTCCTCAGTATAGCCCTTTCGGCTACTTTACTGAGAGCGGGCAACAGGCTGATATGCCTGTAGTTTTGGGGAAAAGTCCGGTTTTTTTGGGCTTCGGGAGCATGATGACTTCCGAGTGCTTCCAAATGCTTGGGAAATGACCAGCCCTGAAAATAGCATTAATCAAGTTAGCGACAGCTACCAGTCCCTTTCTCGGTAGGTTCTTCAGCATTTTGTTGGTGATTCCATCTCTTCCAGGGGCTTTTTTAGCTTTGGTTTTTCTGATGATGGCTGCAAGTTCTGCTGGCGAAGTTGGGGGGAGATGGCTGCCTGGCCTTTCACTCCGAAGCTTATTTACTGTCCTTCTGACAGTTGCTTCGTGGTGTAGGTCATCGTTTGGGTGGTGGTTTACCCTGGCCTCACTCTCGATCGCTTCCGCAAACGCCTCAGCTTTGCCGCCATCTGTAAATACCAAACCTTGAGTTCCGTGGAGAGCTGGAATTTTGGTACCTTCTCTTCTTAGGGCCTTTTGCATACTCCATATGCTTTGGTCTTCAGGATTCAGCTCTCTCAAGCGGTTTTCCCATTTCTGGTTCCTGTGCTTCAGTAAGGCTTCTTTCAGCAGTTGCCCTTGTCGGTTAAGGGCGATTCTGTTTTCTTCTGTGGGATGTCTGCGGAATGTCCTGCGTAGCCTCCTATAGTTGGTGATTTTTCTGCGGATGGCGGCCGTTTGCGTTGTTGTCACACAAGCGAATTTTCCGAGTAAAAATATTTGGATGATTTTCGGGTGTCGGAAATCGTTGAAATAAGGTTTTGTAACATGTGGGGGTAGGCAACATGGCCAGTGCTTCAATTTGTGCCATCAGTGCATTCAATTTAGGATAGACATGCATTCAAATAGAACCGATACAGAACCGAGATAAATAAGAATTTTTCTGTAGATATGTAAATTGAGCACGAACTAGTTTTGGTAATCGGGAATCATATGATGACTGCGCGGCCTTCACGAACTTGTAATCCGAAGCCGTTTTCAATGATGTTAAATGTGCTAATCGTTGCAATCAGAGTTGGTGCGACCAACTTTGAGCTGGTGGACGAAGTCCGCCACAAGCTCAATTCGAGGTGCGGCGCAG